ATAGGGCTCAAATTTACCTCAAAGTTGATATATTGATAAATTAAGAATTTACGTCTTGTCCCAAAATTATAAAAGGACTTATCCTTGGTCCAACTCAATCTGCTCCATTATTAATAACTTTTGGGTGGCAAATGATCAAAGCTATTTGCGAATCACAGATTAAGAATGATTTCTGCTGTGCTAACAGTTGATGGACTAAATTAGATTTCAAAACCTATTTGCATCTATTTGACTGACTTTGTAAAATTATGTAAAGGACAAACACGACTGAGGTTTGGGTTGGAATTGTAGAACCTGAGGGTAGCTGGGACTCGGAACAAAATGCCATGCTGTATGTATGAGTTTGGTTTGTTGTTTTATGCCGCACTCAGCAATATTCCAGCTATATGGCGTCTGTCTGTAAATAATTGAGTCTGGACCAGACAATCCAGTGATTAATATCATGAGCATCCATCGATCCACGCATTTGGGATTGATGACATATATCACCCGATCCCGTTAGTGGCCTTTTACGACAAGCATAGTCACCTTTTACGGCAAGTATGGGTTGCTGAAGACCTATTCTATCCCGGCGTCTTCACGGGTATGTATGAGTTTGAATCCCATGATCAGGGTCAATTCAGATATGGCAAGTTACTGGTATTTCTTGCATTTAGGTGGTCCATAAGTGGCACAGAACATGCCTCTAAGGTTTCGGTTGAAAATATAAAACCTTGAGCTCGGAGGCGGGTTTTATCCTGTACATAATCAAGTTCATACAAACCCAATGAGAGGTGATGAACTGAAGGTGAAGATATCTGAACGTCATTATGAGTCATAATACGAACACAAGAAACCTCTAAAAACACGAGGTGACGTCACAGGTGGTTTCTAACACTGCCAACTGAGAAGCACCCACATGAAGACCCTCTTGTACCTGCCAGCCTTGGTCACCCAGATACACTTCTTGATGAAGTGCTGGACACATTCTCCCATGTTTCTCCAACACTGCCAACTGAGAAGCACCCCCTTCAGGCCCCTCCTGAACCTGCCAACCACTTCGGTCATCATGATACAGCTCTGAATGAAGTGTTTGACACATTCTCCCATGTTTCTCTCCTCCGTTATTGTCATCAGAGTACAAACAATCTCATGTTCTACATCTCAAACAGCCCTGACAACATACATCCCATTCCTCCACACAACACAAGGCCTGTACCATAAATCCTTGACATGGTGCTGGGGGCTCTATAATGGGAGGTCCTTGTGGCAGAGACGGTTTCGTGAAGTTTTTGCAATTTTGTTTAAATGTCTTTCTTGATATTTTTTAACTTTTAAAGAAACAGATCCAAAGTTCAATTTTGGAATAATACGAGTGAGTGGGTGAGTTGGGTTTCACGCAGCTTTTAACAGTATTCCAGTTATATCATGGCATGTCAGCTTAATGTGGGAGGAAAGCCCGAAGTGATGCAGGTCTCAGACGTTTACCACTTTGGTGAAAACCACGAGCACGGATACGGTGCTGACAAATCTAGAAACATAATCAGGGCGAACCGGGATTCGAACCCACAATCACAGGTTTCTGGTGTGCCCAAGGGACGCAACTCTGCACAGCGAATCGCAGCGCCTTAGACAACTGGGCCACCAGTGCCCTCTGAATAATACAAGGATTGGTTGATAAGTTCTGAGACTCACATAGAAGGGACTGCGTAACAGTGAAATCTCTTGTTGTGTACATTACATGATGTCACAGAGGTATATCCACAAACACGTGTCAACTGAGCAAATTGTTTTGGCGTGACAATTCAGTGAAATAAGAAGGGGTCTCTGACCTTTGGAAAGTGGACAAAGTTGAGGAACATTCAGAGATCAAAATATGAGGCTTAGAACTTATCTCTCAACCCTGAGAAATTGAAAAAGGAGTAATGAAAGGAACTGTTGAAATGCACTCTCCTTGTAACAATTTAATCTTTGTTCCATCTAATGGTTCTTTAGGTGTGTTGATTGAGCTTGCATTTGTTCAAGGCCGGTGTTTATTCACGGCGTACAGCATATGTCACATAGAAGTCATAAACTATTCAGTTTAAAAAGGATAATCAGACATCTACATCAAAACAAGACATTTTCCGGTAGAAGTGGAGCTGTTAACGATTACTGTATATAAGTGCCACACTTCTCGAGTACACCTCCTCAGCGCACATCAAAGCTCCAAGAGGATGATGGGAATTTAATGGCAGAGTATTCAACAGTCATGTGGGTGTTCCCAACGTCAGCCATACATCACTCTTGTGGGCACATATTATCTCTGACCATGAAGTTATAAGTCATCTCCTCCTGGGAATTGCTCAACCTCCAAGTTAAGTGTTATCACTCAGTGAATCTGTTTTCTCAAAAATAGTTTTTGCTTCATTCAAATTAATTTTTCATTTATATTTTTCATAATTTCTTTGTATAGATTTTTTTGGGAAAAATTCTAGCGTGGTGAGGAAAGAAAGGACTTAAAGATTGACATCACAGATCACAAAGGTGTCCTTGCCTTTAAAATTGTTTTTCAATATTTCATTTTATCAAGGTCTGTGGATCTATAAACCCTATTAACCAACAGTATCTTCTAAATAAAACAATCTGACGATGAAAAACAGAACAAGACTTTTTGTACTGCTTTTGGCTAAACTGGGATTCCTAATGCCAAATAAATTTCTGTCACATAAAAATTGACTTGCAACAAAAATTCACACAATGTTTGGCCCTATTTTGTTCCTTGAAGGATGTATGCACACAGTTTCATTTGGTACACATCACTTCGTGTTACCAGTAACAGTCATACAATGACTAGATGTATCATGGGAAAAATAGTTCTTTTAAACGAGTTGGCTGATCATATAAAGGTGATCATTACAAAACTTTGAATAGGTACTGAAGTAAGTTCATAGATTGCTGTGGATTGTTGTGGACTGTCACTCAAGATCGATGGTCTTTAGGAAGGTTGGCAGCGAGGATATTCAATCACAGGCATGTCATCAAACATAACTTTTTTCCAATGTATGCTAAATTTGTCATATGACTTATGAATGTCAAGGTTCGCAGTCACAAGACCAGCCTCTCATCCAATGGAAAAGCTATATATCATTTAAACTTCACATTTAAAAACTGTTGTACTGCAGACCTTAAGATTTTTTATAAAGACTGTGTCTACTTGAGTGTTTCTGTCATTGTACAATACACCTTAATCCCGTCCGTGAAGAATGTGAAGACCGTACAGCCGGTGTTTATCTGACTGTTTCTGTCATTGTACAATACACCTTAATCCCGTCCGTGAAGAATGTGAAGACCGTACAGCCGGTGTTTATCTGACTGTTTCTGTCATTGTACAATACACCTTATCCTGTCCGTGAAGACTGTGAAGACCGTACAGCCGGTGTTTATCTGACTGTTTCTGTCATTGTACAATACACCTTATCCTGTCCGTGAAGACTGTGAAGACCGTACAGCCGGTGTTTATCTGACTGTTTCTGTCATTGTACAATACACCTTATCCTGTCCGTGAAGACTGTGAAGACCGTACAGCCGGTGTTTATCTGACTGTTTCTGTCATTGTACAATACACCTTATCCTGTCCGTGAAGACTGTGAAGACCGTACAGCCGGTGTTTATCTGACTGTTTCTGTCATTGTACAATACACCTTATCCTGTCCGTGAAGACTGTGAAGACCGTACAGCCGGTGTTTATCTGACTGTTTCTGTCATTGTACAATACACCTTATCCTGTCCGTGAAGACTGTGAAGACCGTACAGCCGGTGTTTATCTGACTGTTTCTGTCATTGTACAATACACCTTATCCTGTCCGTGAAGACTGTGAAGACCGTACAGCCGGTGTTTATCTGACTGTTTCTGTCATTGTACAATACACTTATCCTGTCCGTGAAGAATGTGAAGACCGTACAGCCGGTGTTTATCTGACTGTTTCTGTCATTGTACAATACACCTGATCCTGTCCGTGAAGACTGTGAAGACCGTACAGCCGGTGTTTATCTGACTGTTTCTGTCATTGTACAATACACCTTATCCTGTCCGTGAAGACTGTGAAGACCGTACAGCCGGTGTTTATCTGACTGTTTCTGTCATTGTACAATACACCTTATCCTGTCCGTGAAGACTGTGAAGACCGTACAGCCGGTGTTTATCTGACTGTTTCTGTCATTGTACAATACACCTTATCCTGTCCGTGAAGACTGTGAAGACCGTACAGCTGGTGTTTATCTGACTGTTTCTGTCATTGTACAATACACCTTATCCTGTCCGTGAAGACTGTGAAGACCGTACAGCCGGTGTTTATCTGACTGTTTCTGTCATTGTACAATACACCTTATCCTGTCCGTGAAGACTGTGAAGACCGTACAGCCGGTGTTTATCTGACTGTTTCTGTCATTGTACAATACACCTTATCCTGTCCGTGAAGACTGTGAAGACCATACAGCCGGTGTTTATCTGACTGTTTCTGTCATTGTACAGTACACCTTATCCTGTCCGTGAAGACTGTGAAGACCGTACAGCCGGTGTTTATCTGACTGTTTCTGTCATTGTACAATACACCTTATCCTGTCCGTGAAGACTGTGAAGACCGTACAGCCGGTGTTTATCTGACTGTTTCTGTCATTGTACAATACACCTTATCCTGTCCGTGAAGACTGTGAAGACCGTACAGCCGGTGTTTATCTGACTGTTTCTGTCATTGTACAATACACCTTATCCTGTCCGTGAAGACTGTGAAGACCGTACAGCCGGTGTTTATCTGACTGTTTCTGTCATTGTACAATACACCTTATCCTGTCCGTGAAGACTGTGAAGACCGTACAGCCGGTGTTTATCTGACTGTTTCTGTCATTGTACAATACACCTTATCCTGTCCGTGAAGACTGTGAAGACCGTACAGCCGGTGTTTATCTGACTGTTTCTGTCATTGTACAATACACCTTATCCTGTCCGTGAAGACCGTGAAGACTGTGAAGCCTGTGCATACCTGACTCTGTTTCTGCTGTATGATCTCTAGCACCTGGTCGGTGAGGTAGTAATCTTTGGAGCGGGCGTCAGTGAAGACGTAGATGAAGGAGTTGGGCAGTGACTTCTCCAGGGCCAGCTGGATAGCGCCGATGCTCATCTCCGGACAGTCACCACCACCCTGCACATACAATGATCGCAACTCACGCTGGAATTCTTCAGGGTCAGAGGTCACCAGGTAAGGACCAATATCTGAAAATATGAGCATGATGAGACATTTTGAAAATGTTTCACATGATTATGACGAGAGGCACTGAAGGGCATGATGATCATCTGTCAGTTATTACTCAGACTGATTGATTAAATGGATGAAGGAGCATGGTTTTAAACAAAGAATGGGCTTCACACATTGTACATTGTCTTGGACTCGAACCACAAGCTATCCCAGTGCGCCTTTGTTTGTTGTTTAAGGCTGCACTCAGCAATATTCCAGTTATATGATGGTGGTCTGTAAATAATCTAGTCTGAGCAGACAATCCAGTGATTGATATCATGAGCATCAATCTGTGCAATTGGGATACCATGACATGCAACAATCAATCAGCGAGCCTGACCACCCAATCCTGTTTGTCGACCTTACAACAAGAATGAGGCAAGACATATTCTAACCCGTATCTTCATGGGGCACATGTCCATCATTGAGCAAAGGACATCATAGCAATAACCTTGTGTCCACATGGGACCCAATTGGCAACATACACTTAGTGACACAAAAGTATTGCCCAGAACACCCACACTTCTAATTAATCCAAAGTATAATATCTTAAAGAAGATGTATGTTTGTTGTTTAACTCTGCACTCAGCAATATTTCAGCTATATGACAGCAGTCTGTAAATAATTGAGTCTGGACCAGACAATCCAGTGATTAACATCATGACATAACTATTATGAAGCAACCCAAACACCAATGTTCTCAGTTGCATTTGTGTTTGTTAGTTGTTAATGCTGCACTCAACAATATATCAGTTGTGGACCAGACCAACCAGTGATTGATATGATGGGCAATGTCCTGCGTCATTGGGATATGATAAACACATTAAAAAGTCACAGAGAATGACCGCCCGATCTATTCACTCACCTCGTATGACAAGGGTTGGTCACTTGGGATTTATTCTAACAAGGAATTCCAAGTGGGGTTTGTCCATGCAATTGCCTTGTAGCCACCTTGGTTCATAATCATGATAATATTCATTAAACTGATGCCTCCTATGCAGTATAAATGTCAGAAAAAAAACACCTTGAAATGATTACAAAGTATAAAAAGTGTCTTCAGGTTTTGGCCCAAGTGAAGACTTACTGGATGTTGGGATACCATATAGGATTGAAACGTAACATCTGCCAACTTCCTTCCAGCCTGTAGGCAAATAAAGAACCTGACCAGTGTCTTCAGACATCAAATATAACACCAGTCAATAAATGTTTAAAACTCTGAGGCTTATCATCCCCAAGTATCAGTGAAGTCATTTGAATGTGACATGTATCCGATGACATCACAATGGTCCGCAAAGCATTGTGATTGAATACATTGTAGCAATATCTCCCATGGGAAACTAGTTTGGGATGATAAATATTTTTATTTGCATCATCTATGTAGTAGTTCAGTTTTCACAGAACATGTCACATAAATTATAGGGTTAATATCAAAACAATGACATTTGTTTTTTATGGGCGATTTTCCTCAGAGCAATAACATCCTTACTTGAGCTGATAAATTTTTCCTTCTTTTACAGAATCAATAGGACAAATAGTAAGAGAAAACATGATTTCATGGTCCATATGAGATTAATTTCCTATGACATATGAGAACAACATGTTTTAAAATAAAAATTGAAACAAAAATTATTTTTCAACAAGGAATTTTTTCAATCATAGCTTGTTTCAGATTTCAGTTTTGAGTAACCTTGTAAATAAAACAAGATTTCCACGTAACTCAATACTGTAAATAACCAGAGCATAAGAAAGCCTTTACTGGGCACACCCTTCATAAAAAGTCCCCTTTTTAAATGTGAAATATGTGTTCCAAACCTATTCTGCCTATTTATGCTCATTTATGCTTCACAAGTAAATGAACCCAATTTGTGTACACATACTTCAAGTTAAACGGAAATTCCATGTAAATTATGTCACATGAACAGGTTTCATTGCTTAAACACATGTACTCCGTGTTGTGCTATTTTCAACACAACTTGTTCTAAATCAGGGATAGCTTTCGTAGATCATATATGTTGAAGAAAATAATGTCACGGGGAGGCAATTCCTCCTTTTGGCATTATTTAATGAGGAAGAGAGTCACCTCCCCAACATCTCATTCACTCACATGAGTGAGTGAGTTTGATTTTACTCGGCTTTTAGCAATATTCCAGCAATATCACGGCGGGGACACCAGAAATGGGCTTCACACATTGTACCCATGTCGGGAATCGAACCCGGGTCTTCAGCGTGACAAGCGAACGCTTTAACCACCAGGCTACCCGACCGCCCCTCCCTCGCATGAACATGGGTCACACCTGTGCCATGACTACTGTATGTTAAAGAAGCATACCAATTAAATATTTCATGCGGGGTGAAAATTGATGAAATGTCCACACCAACTATCAACATTGCATGTAACTTGTAGTACATACTATATGATGAATGTTATTAAGAAAGGCTGATTTTTAAACAGTTTTCAGTTTTACGTTTTAAACATCCTCCAGTATTTGTTGTTTAATCACTACAATATTCCTGCGGTCTGTAAATAATCAAGTCTGGACCAGACATTCCAGTGATTGACATCATGAGCATCAATCCATGCAATTGGGATGGATGACATGCATCAACCAAGTCAGCGAAACTGACAACCCGATCCTGTTAGTCGCCCCTTACGACAGGCATAGTCGCCTTTGAGGGCAAGCATGGGTTGCTGAAGACCTATTCTACCCCGGATCTTCACGGGTCCATCCTCCAGAGGATCATACATGTATCTCCATTCTAAATATCCTTGAACAAAAGCTTTGTTCCGAGTCCAATTCAAGTGACATGACACTACAATAGCCATCCAATCAAATTACCATCTTTTTCAGGATACAAAAAAGCAATGAAATCACCAGCACTTGGCTTTCTTTGACGTATTCCATCTCAAATACATTTGAAAATGTCTGATTAGGGTGTTAAGTGCTGAAGCTATCTTAATTGTCAGAAAATATTTTTATCTGAAAGGTCAGGGCTCCATTCCACAAAGCGACCATAGCACTCAGACGATCTTAGTCTCATTCTTCAGCATGGACTCAGCGCTTGTCCTAGTGTAGTCTTCTGATTTTATTTAATGTATTGAAGCTTAACGTTTACTTTTCTATGTTGAATGCCAGTAATTGGTTGTATGTAGTTTGTCTGACCCGAGAGTCACCTCCCTTGGTCATTGCGACTGCGTGTAGTTACTTGTCATCCATTAAAGCCTCGTCTCACATTCAGGGAATAATTTTAATTGATTTTTCATTAATAAGCTCATGTCAGTAAGAGTAATTTTGCACAAAGTTGGTGGAAAGAGTGCGAGTGATTTCAACTCTGATTCTGTGGCAAATGGGTGCTGTGTATTTAGTAGGTAATACTGAATGGAAATATAATACAATGGATTACCATGGATGGGATTTAAGTGATCCTCGTCCCATCATGTTATCTGGGTACTGTACAGAATCTTGACAACTTTTCCCAAATACAATATTTTGTGTGTGATTTGTCTTCCAATAGTTCTTACTCTTCATTTCATGGTCTCATATTAAACCAAAAGGAACAGCAATGACCATGAAACAGATTTTTTACCAAGATCTAGATTTCATTTTAATGCTCATGTGTTCCATATTCATCTTCTGGGAATGTGTTTGCAGCCTTTCACAACTGAAGTGGTACACGTCTGCTGCATACAGTACTCCACTGTCATTTCTCTAGGTGTTTAGTCTTTGTTTACGCTGGTACCACGTGTTTACTGGTGATGCAGCATCGGCTTCGTCAAGTGCTTCCAGACACAAGGCAGTTGCTTTGAAGTTGTAGGATGCTGTGCATGTGTTGACGCAGATGCACAATGAAAACTTGTCTGGTGTATAAAGGAAATGGTTTTCTTCAGTTGGCAGTGTTAGCAAGTTGAATTCAAGTCAATAAAAAGCCCTTTTATTTCAAGCCAACAATGTTATAAGTGAGAGAGTAGGGTTTTACTCGGCTTTTTGCAATAATCCAGCAATATCATGGTGAATGCTTTAGCCACTAGCTACCCTACTACCAATCGTTATGAAGAATATCAATCTACAACTAAAGGACTGCCCGAATATTTAAATATTTGCTGTAGATGAGTGAAACCTCATTCAATCTCAGGGGCGATGGTGTAGCCCAGTAGTTGAAGTGTTCGCTCTTCACGGCAAAGGTCCAGGTTCGATTCCCCACATGGGTACAATGTGTCAAGCCCATTTCTAGAGTTCCCTGCCATGATAGAAGCGGCGTAAGACCTAACTCATTCATTCACTCACACGAACACATCCCTACTTGACTTAGGCCTACCAATTCACAACCATCAGCATCTGTGTCACGACTTCCTGTACACTTGGATGTGCAACAATAGTCACAATCACCATCTAGGTCACTTTATCAAGTACTACAGATTCAGAAATGGTTATGAAACTTTATACAACATCTGTGTTCTAGATGAGAAGCCTACTTGGTCAAGACAGGAAGAGATGCTTGAGATACAGAGACCCAGTAGGCAGACAGATAACACTGGCTTCCCGCACACCCCTCACATTCTGTAACACTCTTATATTCTCATCTTCCACTTGTCTTGGAGTGCTACACTTCAGGCCGCATTACACTATATCACCTCATAGACCATGTAATATTGGATCTTGTTATACTCCCAGAACAAGGGGTTAATGTTTAGCGGCTGGCCTGTTGTTTGTGTGCAATAAATCACTATGCCACCCCATAGCCCATGTAATATTGGATCATGTTATACTCTCAGAACAAGGGGTTAATGTTTAGCGGCTGGCCTGTTGTTTGTGTGCAATAAATCACTATATCAGCACATAGCCCATGTAATATTGAATCATGTTATACTCTCAGAACAAGGGGTTAATATTTAGGGGCTGGCCTGTTGTTTGTGCGAAGAAAAACACTATATCACCCATGTAATATTGGATCTTGTTATACTCCCAGAACAAGGGGTTAA